TCCCTCACCCTGCCTTACTGGTCTAAGACTCTGGAGGGGATCAGGTGCAGGTGAGTGGTGGTAAGGGGGGCCATGTGATCACTGTGGGAGCCTGCGGTGCCTCTTTGGGGTGAAGCTATGGGTCAAGATGGGGTCGTAGCAGGCAGTGAGGAGAGATGACAAGGATATGGCACTCCTGGGAAGGGGGCTGTGTCTCACCCCGGTGTTGCGTCTGCTTGCTTGTGCCCCCGAGGAAAGCATGTGTGATGTGTGCTTGTGTGCGTGTGTGTGCGTGTGTGTGTAGGGAACGGAGGGGTGCAGGTATAGGGGCCTGCTGGTGGGCATCTGGGAGCGGGGCATAGGATGATGCAGTGGGTCGTATTTGGGACACATGGCTGGAGTGGGTGTCTGGAAGCACAATGTGTGTCTGATGTGTGCTAGGATGTGTGGACCGTGTGCAAGGATATTGGTGTGTGTGGAGGGCTGGGTGGGTGGTTCTGGACAGTGGTGGGTGGTTCTGAGCTGAGGCCACATGGCAGAGGGGGGCTGTGGGGCACAGGTGTAGGATGAGCAGTGGGGTGGGGAGCCCAGACCTTCCCCAGCTGCTTGGGGAGCCTCCAGTTGGGCTTCTGGGATTGGGGTGGCAGGAAGCAGAAGAGTCAGGGGCTTCTGAAGCTGACGTGCTTGCTGTCCGTGTGGTGGGTGTGGGGCACACAAGTGAGAGCCGAGGCTGTTTACAGCCTGTGAGGTTTGTGTCCCTACCGTGGGGAAGGTGTGCAGTGATGTGTGATTTAGGGAACATGCTTGGACTTGGGCATGGGTTAGCATGTGTCCTGGGTGCGGTGTGTGCCACCCTATGGTCATGAGATTTTGCCAAAGCTTGTGTGGGGTGTATTGTCTCTGAGCTGAGGTGGTATGCGGGTTGGGGTCAGTGAACGTTGCTCATAATTGTGTGTTTCTGTAGGGCCCAGCGCTGTGTGTGCTGGGATGTGCAGTGTGCGCGTCAGGATGCGGCCTGGATTGCCTGCTAGCTGCAGTGTGTGGGGGTGTCAGGCATGTGGATGCGTTTATCAAACACGGGGGTGTGAGCTTACGTGGAGGTGGGATGCAGTGAGGGGCGGGGGGGGGCAAGCCACAGGGCAGGGGGGGGGGGGGCTTTGGATTCAGTTTTCCTTTAAGGGAATGGCTTGGATAATTATGCTAATGATGCACGGAATTATGCAAACGGAGAGGTCGTTTGGGGGTCAGAGGCTGTTGTCACCGTCCTCCTCTTTGCTACTTCTTAGGCTTTCCCGGTTGCCTTCAGGCTCAGTTCCCTGTCCCCATGTCTCCTCTTGCTCCTGGTCCCCTGGAGCTGCTGCCACCAGCACCCCTGCGGGGCTCCTGGGAGGGCCCCCCCCAGCCGCTGCCTCCCCCAGCTGGCCCAGGGAGGGGTCAAGCTGGCACTCAGCTGGCTTTGGGGGGGGTGCTGGGGAAGATGGCATCCTTTACCCCACCCCCACCCCACAGGTGTCGCCTGCATTGAGCTTCCCCAGGTGCTTCCAGGGGTGACTGTGCTGTTGGCCAGCTCTCCTTCCGTCTCCTCTGGGGGTCGCTTATTATTCAGAAAGGATGTTCTCTTGGAGGCAGGTTTGGAAAATCACTGAGGTGGCCCCTTCCCCAGCTTTGTCTGATGCGTGTGAGGCTAAATTAAGATGTGCGAGTTCTCTCCCTCTGCCTCCCACTCTCATCTTCCCTCATCTTCCCTGCTTTCTCTTGCTCACTGAGTCCTCCCTTGCGCTGCCCTCGCCCCCCCCCCCCCCCCCCCCGTGCCCCTCTGATCCCTGGCTTCCCTCTGCCCTCGTCCCCCCCTCCCCACTGCCCGGCATCCTCTCTGTTCTTCCGTGATCTTTCCCTCTCCTGCCCCCACCGCATCTCTGTGGGGAGCTGGAGCTCCCGGTCCTTAGCATGGAGGAGATGGTCGCCATGGCAACGGTTGTCATGTCGATGGCTACTGAGCTAGGGATGAATAGTATCTAGGTGAGAGCTACCTGAGCGGAGGCTGATGGGTTCACAGGAGGCTCCACGCTTGTCTCGGAGCCTCAGAGCTGCACAGCGTGCACCCCCCCCTCCACGCACGCACCTGTTTCTACCCAAAGGCACGCCAACACGAGATGCCTCTCTGGCTGCCTTTGGGTGAGTGTGTCAGGGTGTGTCTGGATGCGATCTCTGTCTCCAGGTGTGTCGTTCAAGTCTGTGTGGCTTTGGGGGCAGTCCTTGGATTCGTGCAGGCCCTTCCAGGAGCAGACTGTTAGATTGTTAGGGGCTGTTGTGTGGCACTGGTCACAGAGGAGTCCTGTGGACTCCCTGGTTTGGTGCCCACATTTACCCCAGTTTGGGGATCCCCAGGGACCCCAGACTTCTTAGAACCCCTCCTCCCAGCTAGAGGTCTCTCAGCTCCTCCCTGGCCTTTCTGGAAGGATGGAAGGTCAGTGAAGATGGCTCCGCCCACAAGTGGGAATCTGATATCCCCCCCCCTCCCCCCGTCTTCCCCATCCTCTTGCGTGGCCCTGAGCAGGAATTGCACATCTCTGGCTTCTGGCTGCTTGCCTAAGAATTGCGCAGAACGTCTCCAAGGGCCTCCAGCTTGGCTGGCCCAGCGTGAAGAGGCTGGGAGTGCAGGGAGCCTTCCGTCTCCCTCATCTGGGGTCCTGGGATTTGTTCTTCCGGGCAGTGGGGGCAGAGATGGGGGCTGGGATAAGTTGGATGAGAGCTCTCTGAGCTCCTGGAATGTCTAAAACTGAGAAAGACCCAGCAATTAGTCACGGGAGCAATCACACTAATTGTTCCGCTCCATGACTCACTGGTAGCAAGTAAATACTGATTAATTCATTACTTTGCGTGTGTGTGTGTGTGTATGTGTGTGTGTGTGTGTGTGTGTGTGGTGTAACAGGGGTGGGGTGGAGGGACGGAGGGAATCTCCTGGCTCGCCGCCCTGGCCTCTTGCCCTGGCTGGCCTGGGTAGGGCCATGAAGCAGGTGGTCGGGGCTGAGGCAGGAAGCCAGGATGGCGGGCCTCTCCCTAGCTGTGTGCGAACCCCAGAAGGGGGCCCGTGGAGCGGGGGTGTGTGAGGCTGAGCATGGCCTGCAGCACCGACCCAGTCGCCCTCCTGCTCACACACCTTTCGTGTTCCCCACGTGGGCTGGACAGTGCAGATGCTTGGACTGTACCTCAGATCTGCTGAACCACTGAGTTCAGCGCTCACAACATTCTGACCTGAGGTCAGGACGAGAAGTAACTGGATTCCAGGAGGAAGTTGTGGCTGGTCACTGAAAGCCTCCCGTGAGGGGGCTTCCCTGGCTGCAGCTCCAGCCTGCCCCTACTCCGCCCCTGCCCCAGGAATCATTCCCATCTTCCAGCTCAACTGTCCCTTAACAGATACTTCCTGAATGCCTCCTGTACGCCAGGCAACGTCCTGCCTCCATCCAACAAGGAATAGTTCGGGGGGTTGGGCAGCCACAGCTCACAAGCGGTGATGGACGTGAATTCAGAACCACGAGACACTCTGAAAGATCAGGGTAGGGGGGCTTCTTGACAGAAGTGAGAGGGCAGTAGAGGTTAGCTGGCCAAGAGTTGGAGGACGAGGGGCTGGGGAGGAAGTGTTCTGCGTGGAGGGGACAGCATGAGTGACAGGCAGGAGAGCACAGGCATGTACCAGGAATGGGGAGCTGCCGGCGGTGGGGCTGGAATCCAGCAAGTGGAGGGGTGCAGGGGGACCCGGGGTGAGGTTGGAGGGCAGGGGGGCCAGCCCTGAGAGCCCAGGCTACGCTTCCCCACCTTGCAGCTGTGCTGATTCTCTTCCCTCTGCTGGAGATGCCTTTCTAATCCTCTAGATCCTCTAGATCCGGGCCCTTGGGGGCAATCTCACTTTCTGGGGAAAGCTCTCAGGAGCAGGGCCTGGCCAGGCAGAGCCAGGGTCAAAGGTGTGGCAGCAGGTGGGGTCCTCCTGCCTTGCCCGGCCACTGTGTTGGCTCTCACTGCAGGGTTGCAGTGGGGAGGGACGGCCCCAGCTCCGGGCCTCCCCAGGTTCTGAGCCGGGAGGACTCTTAGGCCAGGTGAGCGGGACCCTTTGAGAAGCCCCTCTTACACTCGACCCCCTTGAAGTGGAAGCGGTTTCCAGCCCTGAGCTAACTTAGGCACTGAGATCCTTTGCGGGGAGGTGGGCCAACTTCCTGTTTTGGGGAAGACCCAGGGCCAGGGCTGGAGCCTGCACCCACTCTTACCCAAGGTACTTCCTTCTGGAAGCCCCAATCTCCCCAGGCCCCTTGTCTATCTGACTAATGGAGCTAATCACGCTGCCTTTGGGATTGCAAGGTCTGAAACTTGGGGTCCCTGACGGGGTCTGAGTCTCACTGCGTCCTGTGCTGTCTGGTGACCCAGGGCAGCTGGGTGGGCCCCAGCACCCTCCTCCATGGAATCAGCCCCGCCTCTCTTTCCTTGAGGACCGGGGGCTTTTGTCTGTGAAAGGCACTTGGAGTGTGGGTCTGAGGACCGGGCCACGCTGAGAGTCACGCTAACGTATGCCGAGTGCCTGTGGCATACAGGTGTGCTCAGCACTGCACACGTTAGCACACTGCATGCTCACAGCACCCCAAGAAGGCAGGCACGGTTTGCTTCTAGGTAATGAGTAAACCGAGGCAGGAAGAGACTAAGTAACTTGTTAGCCCCAGGTCACACGTTTAATAAGTGCTAGAGTCTGGACTCAATGCCAGCATTCTGGCTCTAAACCCGCTTCTGCCCCCAGCAGTCCCCTGTGGTGGCCGTCAGGCGGGCAGATGGCGCTGCTGCCCTGGCCCCTGCGTGGGTGGGAAGTGGTCATCAGGCCGGCCCTGGCTCTGTGGCTCTGTTTGCCTACAGGGTGGCCACATCTAATGCTGTCCCTCATTGTCACTTGGCCTGTGAGCGTGTCTGTTGTCCCTCTGGGCGTGTCCAGGCTGCTGGCCTCAGGTCCTGAGCTCTGTGCCCAACTCTGCCCTCCCCAGGCTCAGCGCTGGCGCAACGAGAACTTTGAGAGGCCCGTGGACCTCGAGGGCTCTGGGGATGACGACTCCTTCCCTGATGATGAGCTGGATGACCTCTACTCAGGGTCGGGCTCAGGCTGTAAGTACCTCCCCCTCCTCTTCCCTGTGGGTGGGCAATGCTATTTGCCTCCAGGGCCCCCCCACGAGGCTCTGATCGCTGGGAACAGGGGCCCATGCAGGCTGGCCTCCACGTGGGGATGGGGAGGTCAGGCCGGGGACCACAAGCACCAGAAGGGCAGACCATCCTCCTGGGGCTGGAACCGGGGCCTCGAGACCTCAGAGCTCAGGACTCCCCGCTCCCCATGGTTCTATCTCTACAAGCTCTGCTGGAGCCCCCTGCAGACTTCCCACACCTGTCAGGGAACACAGACTCCCCTCTCCAACCCAGGTGGCAGCACTGCCACGACCTCTTGTGTGAACTTAGTAGCCACCCCTCAGTGGCAGTGGCAAGATCAGCAAGATCATTTGGCTCACTCGACCTGGGTCAGGTGGTGGCCTCCCGTCCGATCAGCTGCAGCCCGGGGCAGGTTCGGGGAGCCATGGAAAGGGGCAGATGCCTCCACCGTGCCTGGAACAGGCCTGGTTCCGTGGCCTGGCTCCCAGGAAAGGCCAGCAGAGTGGCGTGAAGAGAGGGAGGCGCCCCAAGTTTGAATTCCAGCTTTGCCACCTAACGGCCATACCACCTTCGGCCACTGTCCCTCCCTGAGGGCCTGTGTTCTTCCTTGGGCATGGTGAGAATAAATATGCCTTCTTCTCAGAGCCTCTGGAAGGTTTTAGCATGAGACATCACAGTCTGGAATAGAGAAGGAGCTCGAACACCAGTAGTAAATAAGCCTGTGTGCTCGGGGCGCTGGGCTGGCTTGGTCAGAGGAGCGTGTGACTCTTCATCTAGGGGTTGTGAGCTTGAGCCCCACGTTGGGTTTAGAGATCACTTTAAAAAAAAAAAGGAGTACATGCGGAGATTGGGCGGGGGGGGGGGCGGGGAGGACGAGTCAGTCTGACGGATGGGAGGAGGTCTGCGTGCCAGGGACCCAGCCTCCCACGGACCCTGGCCTCCAGTCTCCCTGCTTTAGCTTACTGCGTGTAAGCCTCTTGCAAGTTAATCTTCGTAAAATCCATCTCTGCTGGGTCATGCCTCTCCTGCTGAACCTCTCTGGCTGTTCTCCACCCCTCCTCTCTCCGCCTGGTCAGGTGCCCCGGGACCTGGCTGTGCCTTCTCTCTCTCTCTCTCTCCCTCTCATTCTCTCTCTCTCTCTCTCTCTCTCCCTCCCTCTCCTTTCCTCTGGGGCCTCCGTACGTGTCCTGGCTCAGAGGCAGCCAGGTTGCTCAAGTATCCCCTGTAGGAAGGGCTCCTTCCCCTCCTTGCTGTCTGCCTGTAGCCTGGGCCTCCGGGGGAGCCCTGAGGATGCCCACCACCACGTGCTCATGGTAGGGTGTACCCAGGTCTGACTTCTCCCAGAATGCCACTCCCCTACTTGTCCCCCAGCCTTTGCAAGGGCTAAAGACCCAATAGGGCTTTAGTTGCCACTGCCTGGATTCAACGTGCCAGAAGGTCCAGGCTGGGTGGTCTGGAATAATCAGAGAAGACTTCCTGGAAGAGGTGCTCTCCCTAGAAGTTTTGGCCAGGCAGAGAGGACTTAGGGAACATTCACCAGCCACCAGCCAACTGGCAACTTTTGGCCAGGCTGTGCCTGCCTCTTTTCTCTTGCCTCGTCCTGGAAAAATTGTGCCAAGATGAGGATGGGAGCGGCCCCCAGTCTTGATGGCCATTGCTTACCTGGGACCCTCACACCCCTCACAATCCCCCAGCTCCCTAGCTCTCTCCTCTCCCCCGCCCCCCCAGACTTCGAGCAGGAGTCGGGCATTGAGACAGCCATGCGGTTCAGCCCGGATGTGGCCATGGCAGTGTCTACTACAGCTGCAGTGCTGCCCACCGTGGACATCCAGCCCGTGGGCACCCCGTTTGAAGAGCTCCCATCTGAGCACCCCACCCCGGAACCAGCCACCAGCCCCCCAGTGGTGACAGAGGTCCCAGAAGAGCCCAGTCAGAGAGCCACCACCATCTCTACTCCCACGGCTCCCACGGCCGCCACGACGGCGGGGGCCCTGACCATGGCCACGGTGCCCGCCACGGTGGCCACTGCCGTCCCCAGCATCCCTGCGGCACCCCCTTCCACGGCCACCACCTCTGTCATAAGGACCACCGGCGTACGGAGGCTCCTGCCTCTCCCATTGACCACGGCAGCCACGGCCCGGGCCACCACCCCAGCGGTGCCTTCCCCTCCCACCACGGTGGCTGTCTTGGACACAGAGGCCCCAACACCCAGGATGGTCAGCACAGCTACCTCCAGGCCGAGGGCCCTTCCCAGGCCGGCTACCACCCAGGAGCCTGACCTCCCCGAGAAGAGCACCTTGCCCTTGGGGACCACGGCCCCTGGCCCCACGGAGGTGGCTCAGGTGAGCAGCTGGGGAGAGGGCGGGGAATGGGAGCAGAGGAGCGTGGGTCAGGGCCTGGGGGTGAGCCGCACACGGATGGAGAGGGTGAGAGAGGCGTGGGGCTGGGGGGCCGAGGCTGGGAGGGAGTCCTGGGATGTGCACAGAGGTCAGTGGTGTGGGAGGGAGACCAGGCCCTGGGCTTCCCACGTGGGACAAGCTTCACAAGGAGGTGGGTGAAGCCGGCTGTGGGGGGTGAAGTTCTCCCACCGCCCATGGTGGCCTCGTGACGCCAGGAGGTCAGTGGTGTCCTCTGGCTGGCCCTGAGTCTGTGAGAAGAGGAACTAATAGGATGCGACCCATAGCATGGTGGGGGTTGTCCAGGGCCGGGAACAGTGCCTGGCAGGGTAAACCAACCAGGGGTTTCCCTGTCGTTGTCGTCGTCGTTGTCGTCGTCGTCAGCACCATCGCCATCGTTAGCCTGAGGGTGACGGAGAGGAGAACCTGCAGCTCACGCTGTGGCCCTGTGCCCAGGCCGCCCTCAGGCGAAGGCAGGGTCAGGGTTCGAGCCCCTCCAAGGACTGGGTGCACATGTGTGTGTGGGGGGGGGTCGGGCTGAGGTTGAAGGGAAAGGGTGGAGATATCAGGAAGGCAGGGGATGTGAGGGATCCAGGAAATGGGAGAAGTAGCCTGGTGCCTGCTGGGGATGTGGGGACCAGCACTGACCGGGATCCAGAAGCCCTTTGCAGCCCGCCTCGTGGAGCGGGGTCCTCGGGTGGTGGCGCACCGTCAGGTCAGTGCCAGCCTCGGCGGGATGCCGGCCTTGCCCTCAGCTCCTCTGAGCACTGGGCCTGTCCGGTGTCTCAAGGATGTGGGCCAAGTGGGGAGGGGGAAACAGTGACAGGGCGTGGAGAGCAGGATGCCAGGCTGGGTCTCTGTGCACGTCCATGAGGCATCTGAGTCCTGGTCCTGCTTCCCCCAGGGGGTTTCCTGGACACACCTCCAGGGGGCATCATGCTCTGCAGTTGTACCTTTGGTCTGACCCCCAGGCTAAGGGACGCCCCTCTGCCTCAGGTACGTGGCCTGGGGACCAGGCTGCATCTAGCAGACCCCAAACAGCAGTTCGACAGCAGTCTCCCAAGAATCATCACTCAGGCAGCTAGAGGGAGAGGTGACGGAGGCGGGTTGGGGACAGGACATGGCCAGGTGTAGTGTGCTGGTTACAAGCACAAGCCGCTGGAGCTGGAGAGATCTGGATTTTAGTTCTGCTTCCACCACGTACTAGCTGTGTGTCCTTGGCAAGTCACTTAACTTCTCTGGACCTGCTCTAAAGTAGGGGTGATAATACCTCCTTCGTGGGGATGTCGTGAGGGTAAAATGTCCATCACCTGTTTTAGCACAGTGCCTGGCACATAGTGAGTGCTTAGTAAATGTCAGACCCACCGGGGAGGTGGGGTGGTGTAGGGGGATGGGGTCGGCTGCCGCACAGCAAGAGGTGTGGGGAGACCTGGCTCCCGGGCTCATGCCACCCTCCCCACAGACCCCAACTCCGGAGTCCGTCCTGACCACGATCCGGGATGAGCCCGAGGTGCCAGTGAGCGGGGGGCCCAGCGGGGACTTTGAGCTGCCGGAGGAGGAGACCACACAGCCAGACACAGCCAATGAGGTGGTGGCCGTGGGCGGGGCTGCAGCCAAGCCGTCACCTCCGCCGGGGACACTGCCCAAGGGTGCGCGCCCTGGCCCGGGCCTCCTGGACAATGCCATCGACTCCGGCAGCTCAGCTGCTCAGCTGCCTCAGAAAAGCATCCTGGAGCGGAAGGAGGTGCTCGTAGGTGAGGCTCGGGGCCTGGGAGGAGCTAAAATATCGGAGCATCTTCTGGCTGATTCAACGAGGACTGTGGCACCTCCCTGAGAGCGTGTGTGGGGATTCTGTGAGGTAGTGTGGGTCAGGCACCCAGGGTGGAGCCAGGCCATGGTGAGGGGCTGCGAATGCCGCCCAGCGCTGGCAGAGTTAGCATTGACTTCACCCCACCCCCAGTCTCAGATTCAAGACTCTCAGCCGCTTCCCTACCCAGGTTCCTCTGCCCTCCCCCCAGGCCCCAAGCCTATTCTGCCCTGTCCTAGCCCTTGACCTCTGCCTTCTTCCTCCACAGCTGTGATTGTAGGTGGGGTGGTGGGCGCCCTGTTCGCTGCCTTCCTAGTCACGTTACTCATCTACCGCATGAAGAAGAAGGATGAAGGAAGCTACACCCTGGAGGAGCCCAAGCAGGCGAGCGTCACGTACCAGAAGCCCGATAAGCAGGAGGAATTCTACGCCTAGCGGAGCCACAGTGCCTCCCGTAGCTCAGCATCACCCCTCTGCCTAGCCCCCAGCCTGGCCCCACCAGCCCTGGCCTGGGACTGGGCCCGGAAGGGAGCCTGGCCCTGCTCATCTCTGCCCGCCCTCCCAAGGTCTGCCCAGACTGCCAGCCTCTCACAGATCTTGCCTGAGGGCCTGTGGGTACTGCCATCTGCCCTAGACTGTGCCCTTACGAGCTCATCTCGGCCTCCCTGCTCTCCCCGCAATCAGCCAGCTTCGGGACCTCGTGTCAGCTGGACAGGAGGAAGGAAGCTCTGGATTGGCTGCTGGGAGGAGGGGTGGGGCTTGAGATGGGCTTGGGCCCTGACCTGTCCCCACAGGGCCGGCTGAGGTCTCCTTCCGGAGGTCGAGAGGCACTCAGGCTGGCTCCCAGGACTAGTGTTTGGCAGGCTCAGCCCCTGAAATCACTGAAGACACTGCAGCCTCTCACTACTGTCCCAGGGCTCCTCTGCCCAGGAGAGTGGGGACTTCATGCTGCCAGCCTGGTTTTGTCCTGGTCTTTCTGGGGTTGTGGGGTCCTCTCCCCCTCATCCCTGCCCTGTGCACATGTTCCACAGGCCTCACCTTCATCCCCGTCCGCCCCTAAGGAACTGACTTCCTGACAGTGCCCTGGCCACCACTGGCGAGAGGGGCTGGGACTTCCCTCTTGTGAGTGGGCTCTGCATAGACCCCATGTCCCACACGGTCACACGTAATGTCACACACAAAGACAGAAGCAGGCGATGACCAAATCATATGCAGTCCTGACCACCGAACCCATGTAGACCCGTCACAGACAGACATTCTTCCAAAGATGCTGATTCTCACGTGTTTCTCACGCCCCCTCCCCTCCTAATGCTCATGACAATGCAAGTCACCAGACATCCCCACCTGCTGGTGCGGCCTGCCCTTCTCTCGGCCTCCCCCCACGTACACTGTGGCACCACGCATGTTGTCTCCAGCTTTCCGGCTCACTGGGGAGGGTGGAGTCAGGCTGGAGCAATCAGCCCATATTGGGTTCCCTGAACTGCCCTGTCACACTCGGTCCCTCGCCACGATGCCAACACCAACCACATTGCCACCAACCCTGGCCTGTCAGATACAATCCCGCGTGGATGCACAATCTTCCCCCACACAGCCCTGCGCTCGCACTGGAGGAGAATGCTGGGCACATACTGCCTTTCCCAGAATCCCAGAATACAGGTGTGGCACGGAGGGGATGGGCTACACGCCCTCTGGGGCACTGCACATCGTTGAGGCCTGCTTCCCTCCCCTCTGCAGCCCCCCAGGGCGGTAGTCCAGGGCCCTGGACTCTCTGGGAGCCTTGCTGAGAAAGGCAGGCTGCTTCCTGGAATGCGGCCCCGGGCTGGGGAGGGGGCTGGGGTCTCCCAGGACCGTTAAGCCCTGGGCGGGGAGGGCGTGTGGCCTGGCTCCTGGTCTCCCTGTGTCCCCCTTCTGCTCTGAGCTAGGGGCCGACTCTGCCTCCCAGGACACAAGTCCCCAAAGTGCCTGCGAGGGTGGGCCCTGCCGCCCGGGCCTCCTGCACCCTCTCCTCCGGGCCTGCGAGGCCCATCTCGGTCCCACCCTGGGGCCTTTCCCGTGGACACTCACCCACTCATTGGCCAAACCACCTGCTGGTTCTCCCGGGTGCAGCTGGAAGCAGCCCTTGCAGACACACTGCCCCAGGCCCGGAGCAGAGAGCAGGTGGGGGCGGGGGTGCCGCAGGCCTCAGCCTGCCTCCCCCTTCTTTGTCACCTTTGCAGGGGGCGCCGCTTCTGTAGATATTTTAAACTTGGGGCTGCAAATCTCCTTTGGGGCGGGTGTGCTTGGTGGAGGCTCCTGAAGCCCCGGGATGTGGCCTGAGTTGTGGTTGGCTGGTGCTCACTCCCCCACCCCTCTCCTTCAACCCAGATTAAAGTCAGGAACCCAGCTTTTATTTCTGTTCCCTTTTCAAGACTCCCTGGCAGCAGACTTCTGCAGGGTGAGGGGTAGGGGTGCCTGAGGTGTTGAGGGCGAGCTTCCAGGGAACTTGCACACCCTGTCTTTTCCACCATCCTACTTCCAGCCCGGGGCTCTGTCCTTTAGACTCTGTGTCCCCCTGGGTAGGGCCTCAAAGCTTGCAAGGAGCCCAGCCTTTGAAGGGGGCAGGAGTGAGGGGAGGCACTCTGGGCCTGCAATCTATTGAAGGTGAGGTGACCTGGCCTCAGTCATCCCTGGAGCAGCAGGGCTGGGGAGGGGGAGACCAAAGCACTGGCCTCCCTCTACCCTGCTCCCTGGCTGGCTGCTGTCTTGGGGCTAGTGGCTCTGGTGACGAGGCCTGGGCAGGCCAAGGCTGAAAAGCCAGGGAGCATGGAGGAGAGAGGACGTGAACCCAGGGAGAGTGGGCCTGGGGTAGGAGACCCCTTCAGGGGCTGGAGCCCACCCTGGGGGTGGGGGGCCAGCAAGGATGGATGAGCTGGGCTGGGTCTGGCTGGAATGGGCTCGGAGTGGTCTGTGTGGGTCTAGCCGGGCCCAGGGGGCCTGACTCCCCATATCCCAAGGCCTGGCTTCTAACTTGGGGCTTTGCCTCCTGGCACGGACCCCTTCTCTCTGTCCTTAGCATTTGAGAGAAGAGGCCAAGGGCCTTGTTTTTGGAGTCCTGGACCTGAGACAAAGACCCAGGCTTGATCCCCTGGAAACTGAACACAGTCTGACTAGCCCAAATCCACTCTGGCCAGCCTAGTTCGGGCAGGGTGGTCCAGGAGAGAGGTCGGTTAAAGGATGAGCTGGAGCTCTCCTAGGTGCAATGTGTGTGCGGGGCTCTCACCCAGCCTGGGCACGAGGTGTGATGCGTGCAGGGCCTGCCCAGATAGGTCCCAGGGTGTCCTGCAGGGCCCTGGCATTTCCTGGAAGCAGGGCAAATTCCAAAGGGGAGGGAGTTTATGCGGCTTGAGAATGTCTCTGGGGCCTCAGCTGCCAGGGAGGGCGGCTGGGGCCTCTGGAGGTGGGGTTTGAGCACACCCTCCAGCTGTGACTTTTAGAACCCAGACTCTGTCTCCCTAGGAGGTCAGAGGGGGTTCCTCTCCTGAAAGGTTTGTCCCCTTGAACCTTGGACGTGGATGGCTGGTAACCAGGGCTGGATGGGGTTGGGTGGGTCAGCGGGCAGTGGCTTGGGGTGCTTGGGCCAGACGCCGCCCTGGGGTTGGCAAAGCCACCTGTCCAGGCTTCCGGGCGGGGGTCCTGGGCGCAGGAAGGAGGCCCACCTCTGCCTCTTGGGCAGGGCAGGAGTGGCCACCACTTCCTCGGCTCTCTTGCATTTCTCCTGACAGCCACCACCCCGGACTCGCTTCCTCAGGCCGCCTGCCTGTAAATAGAAGCCCACAAACTGTACAGATTTACAGAGATGCCAAGCCCGGGTCCTGGGATTGCCGTCTAAGGGCTGATGGTTCCAGCATCCCCCAGGTGCCCACCTGGCAGCTCAGCGCGCCCAGCCCCAGCGTGGCAAATACATGTAAATATTTTTCGTAGGCAGTGTGGCTCCAGAGAGCCCCCTGAAGACAGTGTCCCTCCTGTGCGTCCTTTCCCCTGTACAGAGCCCTCCAAGAACCCGGCCTGGGCCGAACGGGCGCTTGTCCTTTCCTCCCCCGGGCCTTTCCTGCCCTTTCCCCCATAACCCGTTTATTAACCACACCCGTCCTGAGTTCATGGCCAAATCTCTAAGGAAAAGTGGAGGGGAAAGACTGGAAAAAGAGGCCCAGGTGCCTGCCCCGCCATGGGTACTCACCTGTCCCAGCCTTGTGAAGGAGCTGTTTGGGTTTTTTTTGTTTGTTTGTTTCTGTTTTTTGTTTGGTTGTGTTTTGTTTTGTTTTTTTAACACTTCCCGTGCTGTGCCCATTTATAAGAGGAAATAAAATTAAGCTGAAATGATACTGTGTGGCCTGAGTGTGAGATAGACATGGAGGCTTTGTAGGGAGGGGTGGCTTGGCCTGCCCTCCCCATCCCGCCGGGCCTCAGCTACTTTACCCTTCGTGAGAATTTGAGAACCAAGCAAGGAAAATTGACCAGCAACCCTCGTGGGAACCATTATGGTCAAAGCTGCTGGTGGTTGAGAGTGTTGGGGAAACCACAGAGCTGACAGTGGGAAGGCCGGGTGGGGGCTGTGGTTGGGCGGGGCCCGGTCTGTGGTGGCACTGGGGGCCCTGTGGTCCACCCCCAGGGGAAGGACTGGTTTCAGGCCACAAAGAGATAATGTTGGGACCACAGGGTATTGGAATCAGATGGACCAAGGCCAGGTGGCTTTGGGGTCGGTAGGCCTGGTTTCAAGCTCAGGTGACATTTCCTAGCTCTGATGCTGGAGCAGCTACTTCTGAGCTCTCTGAGCCTCCGTTTTTTTATCTGTGGAAGGAGATAACAGTTACCATCCCCTAAATGGAAGGGGGTAAGGATTACGTGAGGAAGAACACTCTGCACGGTGTGGGAACAGCACAGAATGTCGGAGGGGAGGAACTCCCTGACCTGGAACCAGACTGACCCCTAGGCTCACAGGGCCTGTGGGGCAGGGGGCAGCTGCTGTGAGGCTGTGGGTCCTTATTGTTCCCGGGGCTGTCCCTAGTCTTGGGGTCAGGATTTGCAGGGCCCAACACGCTGCCTGCTGAATGAGGAAAGGACTCCGGCCGGGCTAGAAATCCCAGGGTCGGTGTCGGCTCTGGTGTGAACGAGGTCTCCGGTTCCGGGGCCCACAAGGGCCGACCTCGGCACCCGGGAATTGGATGCGTGGGCCGCGCAGATGGGAGTGGGGGCGCGCCGGGCCGGGGCTCAGGGATGGGCAAGGAGAGGGCGGAGGGGCAGGGAGGAAGACGATGACCCGAGAGGTCACAGCGCCGTGGGCCGCTGTCAGAGCCACGAGCCCTCTGGCCTCAGGGAGGCTGGGGGCGCGGGGCCCGGGGCAGACGAGGGCTGCCAGAGCCCTGGGGTGAGGGGCCGACTGTGCCCAGCGCCCCAATGGGGCTCTGCTCACCCCCGTCACTGCAGCCTCGGGCGGGGCTGGCCTCCTGGCCGGTGGAAACTGAGGCTCAGGGAGATTGGGAACCTGCGGCCAGAAAGCTGTTGAAGAACGGAGTGGGATTCCAGCCTGTGTCTCTGCCCGAAGTCACAATTCTTTTAGTTTCAGCCTCCCATTTCCTTCCTCTGCTGTGAGCCCAGCAGGTTACTATGTGTCTCTGAACCTCAATGATGTCATCAGAGAAACAGAGGCAACAGGGTATTGAAAAACTCAAAAGATAGATTTTTTAAAAAAAGATTTTACTTATTCATGAGAGACCCAGAGAGAGAGAGGCAGAGACACAAGCAGAGGGAGGGTCAGGCTCCATGCAGGGAGCCTGATGTGGGACTCGATCCCATGACCCTAGGATCATGCCCTGAGCCAAAGGCAGACGCTAAACCACTGAGCCACCCAAGTACCCTCAAAAGATAGATGAACACATGACACATCTGTGGGGTGCCTGCTGGTTGTCAGTGTCCATTCCCAGATACTCTCTCCTTTCCTTCTTGGAGAGAACCACTGCCCCCACTCTTTCACAGACAGGGACTGTGACAGTGCCCACACTGGGGGGCACTTCTAAAGGACAAATGCCCTATTTTCTTCAGTTAATAAAGTCTTAGATATGCTTACAAGATGAAGGAGGAATTTACAGGGAAGCTTAAAAGGCTTGTTAACTAATCAAGGTGGGAACTTGATTCACATCCTGATTCAAACAACTTCTTAAAAAAAAGAAAATCTAAGCTACTTATGAGGCAGATGGAAATTTGAACTTTGAATGAATATTTGTTGTAAGCAGATCATTGTCAACGTTCTCAGACATGTTACTGGTATCATGCTTATGTTTTTTAAAAAAGCATCCTTATCCTTCCGCAGACAAATAGCTGCACATCAAGTGATAGGATGCTTGCGATGCGTTCACAGCAAGCACTGGGAGGAGGGCCCGGGTGGGAGAGCAGAGGGAGGGAGGGGACATTTGGCTTGGTCATTGGAGGAGCTGAGTCATGGGCACATGGGGGCTCATTATATTATTCTATCTACTTAAAGCTTAAATTGTAAATTCTTCATAATAAAATGTTAAAAAAAATTGATTACCAGGGGCAGAAGGACTTGCCAGGGGTCATACCACCAGCAAATACAAAGCTGAGTCTTCTGACTTGGGGCCCTGGCCCCTGCCTGCCCTACACCCCCTGCCCACCACCCATCTCCCCTGCTCCCCACACTGTCTCCTGACCCACAATGGCACATCCCCCCTCGCCGTGTGCGGTCCACCTCAGACCACCTGCTCCTGCATGGACCTCATCCCCTCCCCTTCTACAAACACTAACGCAGCTGAATGGCTCTGGCAAAAGAATCCAATTATGAGGGCTGATGTGGTGGGGGACTACCAGGCCTCCTGCGGAGAGAGGGGCCAGCACGGGCCTCTGGCTTTCTGGAGCATTCTCCTCCTTGCTCACTGTTCACCTGGGGCACCACCTGGGCTGGTTGGGGATTGCTCCTCCCACGTGGAAGGACATCGATGGGGTCTGGTCATTTCCTTCCATTTTCAAGGCTCTGGCCGAGTCTGGACCTTTATCTTGTCTCGCTGGGAATCCTGAGAGACTCTTACCGCCAGAGCGGGCTGCGAGGGGAGGGCACGGGCTTTGGCATGTGGGTTAGAACAGACGTGGGTTATCACCCAGCCTCAGCCAGTGCCTCCCGGGCTGTCCCAGGGAAGCCACTTTGTCCCCTCTGTATAATGGGCACAGCAGGGACCACTAACGGGGTTCGTGGGGATCCAAGTGCCCACCACAGTGCCTGCCACGCAGCAGGTGCACAACAGCACAACCGTAAGACGCATGGACTGCAATCAGCCTGTGCCCGGCATGTCTTAAATGCCTTTTAATATGTGTGGCATTTAGAACAGGAGCTGGCACGTGGTAAGTAGTATCTAAGTATTTATTAAAATAGAATGCTTTTTCACATATTAACTTATTTTATGCCGTGGACTGAATTGTCTCCCCCACGAATCCATATTTTGAAGCCTTAACCCACTAGTGTGACTGGATTTAGAGATGGGGCTTCTAAGGAAGTCATAAAAGTTAAATGAGGTCATAAGAGTGGGGCCCGGGGACGCTAAACCAATAGGATTGGTGTCTTTACCTTCTAAGAGAAAGCAGAGCGCTGAGCACTCTCTCTGCATGAGCACAGAGGAAGGCCGCGTGAGGACACAGCAAATGGACATCCTGATCTCAGACTTCCGGGCCCAGGGACTGGAAGGAAACAAATGCCTCTTGTTGAAGTCAGTAAACCCAGCCTGTGGGAGTTAGTGATGGCAGCCCAAGCTGACTGATACGTTTAATCTTTATAAAAACGCTGACGGGTCGTAGCGTTATTACTCTAATGTTTACAGATGAGGAGACTGAGGCCTGTGGTCTTCAAGAAGGCTGGAGGAGGTCATACAACTCTAAGGTCAACCTTGACTCCCCTCCCCCCTTCTCCTGGCAAACTCCTATGCGTCCTCCAAAGCCCTGCTCTGACCACACCTCCTTGGGAACTCCCTGGCAGCGTTAGCAGTCATTGCCTTTGGTAAGAGAAGGAAGGGAGGCCAGGGGGAAGACCTGAAAGAGTAGAGGATGGAGAGGAGGGAGCCTGATGGAGGCCTCCTCCTCCCGATGGAGGCTGTTGGGTGAGCCAGGTGGGGAGCCAGAGAACTGAGGGAGGGATAGAGAGCCCGTGGGATGGCTGTTGGGAAGGGCTTGAACAGAAGAGTTCTTGGTCTTTCTTCCCACCGTAGGTGGCTGGCTCTGTCTCCTGGCTGGTCTGCCAAGGCCCAGCTCAGCTTTCTCAATCTATAAACCACACAATTTAACACAACAGTTGAGATAAAAATGAACCCGGGGCACCTGGGTGGCTCAGTTGGCTAAGCCTCTGACTCTTGGTTTCAGCTCGGGTCATGATCTCAGAGTCATGAGATCAAGCCCTGCATGGGGCTCTGCACTCAGCTCAGAGTCTGCTTAGGATCCTCCCTTCTCCCTCTCCTTCAGCCCCTCTCCCACCTCTCTCTAAGTAAAACAAAACAAAGAACCCCAACGAACCTTTACTGGACATTTACTATTGGGCCAGGCTCTCTGCCTGTTCTTTTATACAGCATTCCATTTAGATGTTGCGAGAACCCCACGAGGTAGGTACTATTAGTATGCCCATTTTACAGATGAGAAAACTGAGACCTCTTTAAAACGTGTCTAAAATTACAGAGCTAATACATGGTGGAATGAAGATTTGAACCCAGGCGATCTGACCTGGAGCCCACTTGATTCGTTCCCATCTGTTAATCGTTCACCCGATGTTGGTAGATGCCTACCGTGTGCCAGCCACTGTGCTGGGGACCAGGGGTATGGAATTGAAAGACACACAGTCCTGAACCTCAGGGGAGTCACAGGCTGAGGCAGGGAAGGTAGACCTGGACTCAGATACCTGAGAATGCTCCTGATGTGGAAGGAACAGGACTGAGCCTCCCGTCTGCGTCAGACCCATTAGAGGCTATGTTTTATTTAACCGTATCCTACCAGTTATTTGGCATATGGCTATATAATAATTAATGCTCTCTCTTCCCAAAGACAAAGCAGGCAGGTTTCTAGAGTGAAAGTGATGGAAAAAGCACAGCTTTGACATTATTTTTAGGCTTCCAACTAAATCTGAAGTTGTCAAATCTAAGCAGTGCTGGGGCCGTGGTGGATCAGCTGTAGTTCTTAGAAAGCCTCTGCCCTTCTGGCAACCGTCACTCCTTTCCTAACTGGCCCGGAAAAACTAGCTGGCTTCTGTGTGACACGAGGGGTACACGGTAAGTCAGAATTCAATGATGCCTGGTGACCCAGGTATGTACAAAGCTCTGGGAGTATAGACGAGG